CTTATGTAAGAACTGCAAGAAGCCCCTGTCATGTGTCTTCAGCTTTCTATGGAGAGGGAGCATGGACACAGGGGTCATCCCACACTTGCTAAAAACAACAGACATAGTCCCACTTTACAGAGGTGGCAGTTAAGCAGTTGCAAAGAACTACAGACCGATAGCATTAACATCCCATATCTTAAAAGTCTTTGAAAGGGTTCTAAGAAGCAAGATCGCCAACCACCTAGATACCCATCAGTTACACAATCCAGGGCAACACGGGTTTAGAGCAGGTTGCTCCTGCCTGTCCCAGCTACTAGACCACTATGACAAGGTCCTGGATGCTGTAGAGGATAAACGAAATGCAGATGTAGTATATACAGACTTTGTGAAAGCCTTTGACAAGTGTGACCACAATGTAATAGCGCACAAAATGCTTGATAGAGGAATAACAGGAAAAGTTGGTAGATGGATTTGTAATGTCCTAACAAATAGAACACAAAGAGTAACGGTAAAGTCCGAGGCAGCTACAGTGAAAAGCTCTGTTCCACAAGGCACAGTACTCACTCCCATCCTATTCCTCATCCTCAGAGATGTAAGCCATAGCTCTGTGTCTACCTTTGCAGATGACACCTGAATTGTCATGACAATGTCCTCCACTGAAGACACCGCAAGACTCCAAGCAGACATCAACCAAATCTTCAAATGAGCCACTCAAAACAATATGAAATTCAGTGAAGAGAAATTTCAACTACTCAGATATGGAAAACATGAGGAAATCAGAGCTGTATCAGGGTACATATACAACAAATTCTAACCACACAATAGAACAAAAAAGTAATGTGAAGGACCTGGGAGTGATAATGTCAAAGGATCTCACCTTCAAGGACCACAACAATGTATCTACTGCATCTGCTAGAAAAAATGATAGGATGGATGATGAGAACCTTCAAAACTAGGGATGCCAAGCCCATGATGATTCTCTTCAGGCTGTTCTCTCTAGGCTGTAATACTGCTGTACACTAACTGCCCCCTTCAAGGCAGGCAAAATTGCTGACCTGGAAAGTGTACAAAGAACTTTCGCGGCACACACATAAGTACGATAAAGCACCTAAATTACTGGGAATGGTTGAAGTCCCTTGATTTGTATTCCCTAGAATGCAGGCGAGAAAGATACATGATAATGTACACTTGGAATATCCTAGAGGGATCGGTACCAAACTTGCACACAAAAATCACTCCCTATGATAGCAAAAGACTCGGCAGGAGATGCAACACTCCCCCAGTGGCAAGCAGGGCTCCAAGAGTACACTGAGAGGCAGCACAATAAGTGTCATGGGCCCAGGACTGTTCATCTGCTTCCCAGTATACATAAGGGGGATTACCAATAAACCCCTGGCTGTCTTCAGGAAGGTGCTGGACAGGCCCCTAAAGTCAGTACCTGACTAGCCGGACTGTGGTTCATATATCAGTTTGCGTGCAGCCAGCAGTAACAACCTGGTTGATCAGACCCTGATCCACCATGAGGCCTGGTCTTAGATAAGGTTGCAGGGGCATTGACCCCTGAAACCCTCTCTAGGTATAACCTTGTGTTTGCCATTCATTGCCTTGTCTGCTTCTAAAGCCTGCATTAAACTGTCACATTATTTGGAAGAGTTAGCCAGAAATATTTTTTCATATTTGAGCAATAGTCCTAAACACCTAAATAAATATAAAGAATTTCAAGCATTTACAAATACCATTCCTCAAAAAATTTTCCACATTAGCTGCACAAGATGTAAGTACATGTAATGATGTAAGTAAAATCAATATTAATGATCTTTCAACATATACATACATTAGGATAGATGACATTTATTGTGGTGCCATTGTGGAAAGCATTTGCTTGGATGATTCAATAAAAATTTCCTAGAAAGAATTGCAAGAATTTCAAGTAAAGAATTTAAAATTTTGTTTGCCTTACAGAGCAGATGTTTTAGCACTTTTTATCTTCTGAAATGTTTGCAAAATTGGAGTTGCATGAGGCATTAGACCCACCAAAAGAGCTTTGTGATAAAATGTACAAAAAAGATGGTATAGTGATGAAGCAGTTGAGGAAAACATTCTCTTTTAACAAACTATAAGGTAAGTTGAATGTATTTCCTCAATTTCAAAGGTTTAGTAAGATGAAATGTAATGTAAGTTAAATGTATATTTTCTTTTTTAAGATGCTTTATAAGGTATATGTATTGGTATATAAGACTTGGTACGTTTTTGTGTTTTTTGGTACCTTTATGCGAAAAGTTTGGTACAGTACTGTACTATTACAGAATAAATTTTTGCAGCCCTGCTTGTCGGCAACAGTGGCGTATATGCACCAATGATATTTACATTTTACAGTTTATAAATGCCAAAGTATGATTGCTTTTTATTTTTTTGTACACTAGTTTCTTACAATATAAAATGTGTTTCAAGGTATTATAGTAGTATACGTACTTAAAAAATGGGGAAATGTTCTATCCACAAGGAATACGTATAGTTGTTTCAAGGTATATTACTCCTCAAAAAATGGACATAAGTCACATTGTTTGTCTCTATTGGGTTATTCTAGGTTAATCATTTATGTTATGTACAGTATTTCAAGGTTTAATACTCAATATAGTCACATTGCTTGACTATATTGCTAGACTACATTAAATCTACATAGTGTGTACTTTTGACTGAATTCCACAGTTAGTATCATGAAACTGTAATAACATCTGGGATGAATAAGATATCTTCCTGGCAGATCCACATCCTATGTGCTGGTAGGGAAGCTGGGTGTGGAACAACAGGTCCTTGTTTAATTGTTTACAGTATTTATGCTAGTTAGGCAGTGTTAACCTTGAGGCACTATGTGGACCCCTCTGGTCTTAGAAATATTTTCAAAGGCATGAAGCGGTTGGAGGAGACCCAGTTAAAATTAAATTAAAATTATTTATTTCTTTAGAATCATACAAGTGCAGTAGTTATACATTTGAAATAGTTACATTTTGAGCATTATTTTATAACGCAGATAGAAGTTGAGACAACATAAGTCTCAGAGCCACTAATTATGCAAATGCATTTCAGGCAAACTAACCATAAACCTTACTACTTATATTTTAGACATAGAATAAATTTTAAGTCAATATAGCTTGGGTAATTCATTACAGTCGTAAGTACAGTGAGACAGATTGCAAATGAAGAATTGGCAGGTGTCGTATTTGAAGACATGAAAAACTGTGCGTATTAGTACATCAAACACACAATCATCAGTTGCATACTGGTATGTTGGACACAGTTAAGAGGTAAAGTCACTTGTTTCTCTTCAGAATAAAATAGTACTCTACACTAGCAACCCTTTATAAGGCAAGCAAAATTACAAATCTTGAGAATATACATTATTATTATAATCAAAAAGAAGCGCTAAGCCACAAGGGCTATACAGCGTTGAGAATGTACAGATAGCCTTTTCTGGCAGTATAAATTAAGTCTAGCACCTAAATTATTAGGGATGCTTGAAGCCCCTTGAACTCTATCCCTTGGAATGTAGGCTAACAAAGATAAATCATATATTATTCCTGGAAAATTCTGGAGGGATTGGTCTCAGATCTGCACACTGAAATCATTCCTAATGAAAGCAAGAGGCTCACAGATAGTGCAAAATATCCCCAGTGAAAAGCAGGGGGTGAAATGAATAATCAGTAAATATAAAGGACCAAGGCTTTTCAACATGTGCCATTCATGTGTAAGAGGAATTACCAGCAGATGCCTAGTTCTTCAAGAGGGAATTTGATAAGTTCCTTAGGTCAGTCCCTGATCAGCTGAGCTGTGGAGCATATGTTAAACTGCATGCAGCTAGAACCAGGAGCCTAGCTGAGTGGGCCCTCAACCAGGAGGCCTGGTTTGAGATTCAGCTGATGTGATGGTAACAAACAGGAATTAGTGATGAAACCTTACTTTAGCAGACTAATAAGGGAAAAAGGTGTCTGGTAATGCCAGTTGTATGTTAAATCCAAATGAAGAGATTACCATTCTATAATTATAAAATAACAGATATTTCTGGATTTAATGAATTTGCTCATTAAATTCAAAATTAATTTACCCCACAGTTCGTAACAATAATGTGCAATTCTGAAAATAAGTAACTTTGCTAAATCCAGAATCAATTTACTCAGTAGGGATGTACTAGTAATGGATAATTCTGAATTTAATTAACTCTGCCCATTGTTTCTGGACATGTCCAAATTTTTTTTTTCTTAAATCTGAAATCCATTGAAAACAAAGTTTCTTTAATTGAGGTTTTGTTATTCATAAATTTTGAATTAGCAAGGACCTCTTAATAACTTAACCCTCTTAAATCTGGGAAATCAGCTGCACTAAGCTTCATAAGAGTACTGTAGTCTGCAAGCCATTATTGTGTTGTGGGAGAAGCCAGTCCTACTGGATAAGGAACTTTATCCAGTAGCTCTTTCGGCAACCAGAGAAGCCCTAGAGAAAGTTCATCCGTTCCACTGGTAGTATTGCAGATCACCCCTGAATCTGATTCCAAATTTTCCATAATGTGAAAGAGGAGGGATGATCCTTGCTGGAGCATAAAAGTGGTTGGCAGCTCCAGGATAAGGTCCTAAAAGTAGCTGCAACTTCAGGCAATATAGTTTTTCAACTGGGTCTTTTATAGCACTTCTGAGTGATTCAGTAGATTCTTATTTGAAATGGTACAAATTATTATTCTTTTATATCACCTCTGAGTGATGCAGTAGATTATTTAAAATGGTACAAATTTTGTTGTCTAGGTAACATAGTAAAAAGATTTAACAGTATTTGATTTTTATGGATTCTGTTGGAGGATTTTGATTATATGTGTGGTTTAATAAATAATTTTCTATTTTCATATATGTATCTGTTGTGCTTTTTTTTATGTGGTCTATGAACATTATCACTACTCATGCAGGTAAAGCTTTCAGTTACATATTTGTTAGGTTATTTGTATTCTAATCAAGCTATCAATACTCTTCCAGGATTATCCATTCCTGAAGGAGCACAACCGGCCAGCTGGTGGCATGGTGGTTGATAATGGCCATTCGGTGGTGGTATGTAAGGACTGCTACTCTTCGCTCAATAACCAGGTGAGTCTCCATCCCCCTTTACCGTCTGTGCTCGGGTGTGTCATCCCACATCACATCTGGCTGTGTGGGTATCCTTATCCCAGCCTTCGTTTCATTTCTTTACATTAATGACATACATGACATATCTTGGCCATATTTTCAGTCTCCACATCAAGTTGCTGTTTGCTGCGGGTTTGCTGAAGTCAGGTAATGGCATCTTCTGATAACGCATGGACTTTGATGTTGCAGGATCTTCCAATTACTGATAATGATGAAATCTGGTGTAACTTATCTCACATGTACAGTACATAGAGTTGGAGAGATGGGGAGTACCAGTGGAGAAGAGGCAGTACAACTGGATTCAGCGCCCTCCGCCGCCAGAATTCCAACAGGGCACCACAAGCAAGCCCAGCCAGGGGCCCACCTTGGGCATTCAGTCCATGTTTGTGGAGCCTGGCTCATCTAGCCCAGGCTCTCATCCAGGGACTCCCCCTGGGATCTTGTCTCAGCCAGGAGGTGGGGGCAGCCCCAGGGGATCTCATGGCCCAGTATTGGGCTCTCCCAGTGCGGTACGTGTGTCTTGGTTTGTGTGGGCGGCCACCTACTCTTACCCCATCAGCTATGCTTCAGGCTCACCTGCTCACTGAGTACAAGTGATGCTGTTTCACAGATGAAAATCAGCTCTAAATCTTTTAATGAAAATAAAATATCAGCTGTATTTAATGTTCTTGTATACAGTATATCTTGTTAGACAGCATATTAACAACTTGATAAAGTTTGTGAACAGCTATGCTTATAAATTTTATTTTTGTAAAACTGAAAACTTGCTTAGTTTTATGTAAATTGACAGTATTGCAGGTTTCTGTTCAGCATTAAACTAATGTATAAATATTTTCATTGTTTGAGCATAGCTCTTGGCTTGGACATTGATGCATTGCTGTTCATAAATTATTTTTAATCATTTACTGTTGCTTGCTATTCCTCATTAGACAGCCTCATACCCGTCTGGATTTTTGGGAATCTCCTATGACGTACTATAATGGTAAGAGGTAGTAGCAGTAATTGAGCAAGTGTTAGGCATGCATTCAGTGACCTGGTGTACATTGTTTGCATGATTTTGTAGCCTTGGCTTGAATTTTCATTTATCCATCTTATTCAGAGTTTAAGTTTTTACCAATCACTGAGAAACAAAGTGAAATGTTTTCCCTTATTATTAATTAATAATACTTTGAAGTTATACACTTAAAACCACTATCCCAATTTTTCAAGCTTTCAATGCTTTTCTTAAAAGAACTAAAGAGAAGGTGGCCATACCCCAAACTTTTAATTTTCCTGGCACGTGGCAAGGCTACCAAGTCACAAGTCCTGACTGCTTCATCCAGCAGAATCATAGCATCATAATGAAGCATGAAGAAAGACACGGAAGAATAGACAACCAATGAAGGAGCTCAAAGGACCAAGATTTTTGTATAAGAGACCAGGATGGGCTTCTGTCAACGTTAATAAGAGTGGAAGTGTTTAGTAATAGTGGCTTCGGTGTTTCTGGCAGATAGATGATGGCTTGAGTCTTTCAGGTTTTCTTTTATTTATTTCTCCTACTGCACTTTTGATCTGCTCTTTCTGCATAATGCATGCTTTTTCACCCTTTTTAATTACTAGCATTTTTCTAACTGATCAACTCATGTAACGCAAATAATTTGTTTTACATAGTAAGTAGCAAAATCCCCTCTCAAATTGTTTGCGTTACCTGTTGAAAAATGTATAGTGGCTATACATACAATAATTATTTCAACTTGTTTAGTTGCATAAAGTATATGACAACAGTCTTCACTGCATTTTTGTTGTGACTTTAATATAGTAAAATGCAGTCTTTTCTCATTTCTACAGTTTTTATAGCAGTTGTTTAAAAAGGAATTAAGAAAATAAATGAAATCTACTTGGTGTTTTGGTCTAGTGGCTTTGTTGACAGATGGCCTACTTTCTCATTTTTCATATGTTTCTTCAGACAAGTGATGGTCCTGGGTCACGGTCAGGTGCAGTCAAGCTATGTGAAGATCCTCCATCGCCAGCCACCAATGCCTATTCCCAAGTTAATTGGAGCAAGCAATGTCCCTATAGATTGTAATGAAACATCTTGTGTTGGGAGTATCCCCTCCTGTATGCCCCCCTTCAGCTCAAATTGGTGTCGCCAGGCAGGGGGGCAACACCCTTGCCAAGCAGCACACAGTGGCACCCAGTGAAGGTTTCAACTCTGGCGATACCAAGCAACCAGGACTCCAAAGCAAAAATTCACTTCAGTGGACCAGTCCCTCAAGAGCCACAATAACGAAACCTTCTTGCAGCCGACCATCTCCAACAAGCATGTCTCCTCCAGCAAAGCCACAATCACAAACCAACTAGATGGTGATAAAGTCACTCATAAGAAGAGGAAGTCTGTAATTAGAGGTGTGTTTTTCATAGATTCAGTATTGAATATGTAGACCAAAGTACATCTTCGAAAATTTAGTTTTTTGTCAATGAAATGGAAATATTTTACTGTACAAGGTACTGTTCTTAATCTTCCAAAAATGTCTTAATTGATATATATTATTTATTTATTTATTTATTTTGAGTACTGTATGTTTCATAAGATTCTTAACTTTTAATTCCCTAAAAAGATTTTGCATTAAGCTCGCATGTAATTGGAGTACACGCATACCTAGAGAAGCAGTGATACACAGGAGAGATGTCAGCATATGCTTAGAGAAAGTACAGTGTCAATTTTTACTTCAGAAATGCCTGAATTGCATTTGAAAATTTAAGCTTTGGTTTAAATTTATTAATTTTTTAATCAAAAGTTTTAGTGTAATAAATAATATTAAAATGTTTACATGAATGTTTATTGTAAGGGTGTAAATGAAAAATACAAGTTAGTTTACAAATACATTTTTGAAGCCTTTGATGTGTTTGTCTTAGGACACCTTGCATGAGAAGAGATTATGTAGAGTAATTAATTAATACAATACATAACCCTTAACAGGGATGAATAATAAGGCAGACCCCACAAGTAGCACAATACCAAGCCCCGACTCTCATCGTGCAGTCAGCAGCTGCGGACGTCCTCTTATGAGCTGCAGGCCAAGTGTTCATGAATCCTGGAAGTAATATACCAGTCTTCCCTAAATGAACTAAAAGTATGAATTCTCACTGCGAAAAAAAAAAAAAAAAAAAAAAAAAAGCCTACAGTTGTTGATATGGCTTCGCTTGCCATTTTTGTCAGCATGTACCATTCTGTTTCAAAAGAAATCAGAAATTTTAACAGTAAATTTGACTTCTTGCCAGCATATTTAATGATTAAACAGTCTGTTGTACCATGTGTCAACAGCCACAATATACTCTATATCTAAATCATGTGTTTGGTACAGGTTCAGCCTAGCAAAATTTGAAGTGAACCAGCTGCATAATTTATGAAGATAATTAAAATTTATTTTAGGTTCTGTTTGTGCTTAAAGCTTTATTTGTACAATTTATGTAAAGATATAGGGGCAAAACAAAAAAAAAAACAGAATTTTCTTAGCCAAACTTTGGACTTGTGTATTGATATAAAAATCACCTTGGTTTCAATATCAAGTTTAAAAGCATTTAGCTTCAAATAGTAATATCTAACCACCAAGTCACAGTATTGTATTTACAATTTTAGAGCTTAAATAAAACAAACTGAGGAATGTAATTTTGTTAGCAAAGTTTAATATGTTAATGAATGATTATGAAGTTTCTCAAACATTGTTTCAGGCAGTTTAGATAATTTATAATATACATGACATAATTAAGTTACTACATCTACTGAGTGTTGATGAAAAATTATATGACTGAAACAGATATTTTAATTTAAATATACTGAAACTTTTAAACTTAGTGTTGAATTAATTAAATGCTGAAAACCAGTTTTATCAAGGGGATTCAGAATGCGTAATTCATTAATTAATATTCAGTCAATTTTTTATGTTATATAACAATAAGTATTTAAAAAAATTATCATAGCTAGAAATATGAGCAGGATAAATATCTATACATTTATCCTACCTACCATCATCTAAAATATATTTTTTGTCAGCTGAAGAGTTCATTCGCTGCTATCATTATATCATTGTCCATTTTATTATTTTGGTAGATGCCTATATTAGGGCTCTTGGTAACAGTGCGCCTAATACTGTCATCATTTTAAACTACACATGATTGTTTAATCTCCATGGGGAAGTAGAACAGAATTCTTCCTCCATAAGCCATGCGTGTCATAAGAGGCGACTAAAATGTTGGGAGCAAGGGGCTAGTAACCCCTTCTCCTGTATAAGTTACTAAATTTAAAAAGAGAAACTTTCATTTTTCTTTTTAGGCCACCCTACCTTGGTGGGATACAACTGGTTTGTTGAAAGAAGAAGATGATTGTTTAAATATTATTTGTATTTCAGATTTGGAAGATTTAAGTTTTTGGGCCAGAGTCTCGGGTAATACAAAAATATATATACAGTGCTCCCTCGTTGTTCGTAATTAATCCGTTCCTGGAGCCGTTACTATAAACGAAATTTACGATTTACGAATCAATTTTCCCCATAAGAAATAATGTAAATACAATTAATCCGTTCCTGACACCCAGAAGTATTAAAACAAAAAAATTTTTAACATGAAATATGCATGTAATACATAAACAATACAATGGGAAATGATGAATGAAACATTAACAGCATAACACTTACCTTCATTGGAGATTCTTCTTAGTGTATGGGAGACTGGAGGAGGAGAGAGAGTGGATTGTTTATAGTTTGGAAGGGGAATCCCCTTCCATCAACACCTCAGGTACCATTTGCTTTTCTGGAGTTGCTTCTCTTCTCTGTTTCTTAATGCCACTAGGACCACCTTGAGAGTCACTGGAGTCCTGTCTCACAAAATAACTGTGGAGAGAGCTCTGTTTCTGGCGTCTCTTTAACACTTCCCTAAAATAGCCCAAGACCTTGTCACTGTACATGATGCCAACCTGGCTTGCAACAACCTTGTTAGGGTGATGTTTCTCCATAAAGCTTTCCATCTTACCCCACATAGTAAAAATCACTTTAATTTCTGAAGAAGGCACCTTCTTCCATCTCTCTTCCTCCTCCTCTGCAGCAAGATTCTGAGCTGCGTGCTTTGTTGCTCTTCCTGCTGAAGCTCTTGCAGCTCCTCAGTGGTGAGCTCTTCATTGTGGTCTTCCACCAATCTTCCACATCCTCCAAACTCAACATCCACCCCATGGAACTCCCCAGTGCCACAATTGATTTTACAACAGACATAGGCTCATTAGGGTCAGTCCCAAATTCTTCAAAATCCCTCTTGTCAACACAATCTGGCCACAGTTTCTCCGGCAGAGTTCAAAGTCCTGGTAGTCACTCCCTCCCAAGCCATACCTATAAGGGTTATGCAGTGGAGGATGCTGAAGTGTTCTCTCCAAAATTCCCTAGGGTCACAGTGTTTGTGGTCACAGTCAAGCACCTGTGAAACATTGCTTTTGTGTAGAGTTTTTTAAAGTTTGCAATAACCTGCTGGTCCATGGGTTGGAGGAGAGGAGTGGTATTCGGGGGAAGAACTTTACTGTGATGAGCCCAAACTCCTCGAAAATTAGGTCATCCAAGTCTGGAGGATGAGCAGGTGCATTGTCCATTACTAGCAGGCACTTGAGATCCAATTTCTTTTCCAGGAGATACTCCTTCACACTAGGGCCAAACACTTCATTGAACCACTCGACGAAAATTTCCCTTACTATTAGATTTCCAAAACACACACAATTTACTCTTCATAACATTGTTTTTCCTGAACACTGGGATTTTCAGAATGGTACACTAGTAATGGCTTCACTTTGAAATCCCCACTAGCATTAGCACAGAATATTAGCGTCAGCCTGTCTTTCATAGGCTTGTGTCCTGGCATTGCCTTTTCCTCTTGTGTAATGAAGGTCCTCTTTGGCATTTTCTTCCAAAAGAGGCCTGTTTCGTCACAATTGAACACTTGTTCAGGTTTCAGTCCTTCAGCCTCTATGTACTCCTGGAATTCATGCACATATTTTTCAGCTGCCTTGTGTCCGAACTGGCAGCCTCACTATGCCTTACCACACTGTGTATGCCAGTACGGTTCTTAAATCTCTCAAACCAGCCTTTGCTGGCCTTAAATTCACTCACTTCACCACTATTTGCAGGCAATTTCTTTACCAAATCTTCATGCAACTGCCTAGCCTTTTCACAAATAAACGAAGTCATAAGAGTATCTCCTGCTAATTGTTTCTCATTTATCTACCACATAATAACTTCTCAACCTCTTCCAGTACTGGTGATCTCATTTTTGTCAGCATAGTTACTCCCTTTGCAACAACAGCATCCTTTATTTCATTTTTTCTTGGCCACTATGGAACATAAGGTTGTATAGGGTTTCTTATACATCCTGGACAGTTCGGCCACACTTGTACCACTTTCATATTGTTCAATGATGGTTTTCTTAAATTCAATCGTATTTCTCACCTTCTTTACCACAGGCTTGGCACTAGGAGCTTTCTTTGGAGCCATGGTTAAGCTTATTTAGTACTTGCTAGCACTAAAATAAATGGAATATTATGAAATATTTCGCTGGAGCACGTAGGGGGACCTTCGCTCACTGGTAAACAATGCCAGACTGGCTGCCGCCCTGCTCACGCCGTGGGTACGTGTCCCGGACGAACTACGACTCGCGAGTCAACCTATGAAAAGCGAGTCCATGTTTATACGAAAATACCTCTATGATTGGCGAATTTTACGATTGCCGGGAACTACGAAAAGCGGGGGACCACTGTATGTACACAAAGTTTGGAAGATACTCAAATGGTGAGCTATTTAAGAATCTGGAGCATAAGAGTTTGCCTTCAGTGGGCAGGTATTTTCCAAGGTCCAGTTGCTAACTGGTAATGAGAATTATGAATACCTGCAGAGTTTCACACTCAGTACAGTACGTAGTTCTTTTTGATACATGTTGAATGTTTTAGATAATTCTGATATAGTATATGTTATATAAATGTAAAATATGTTATTCTCTGAAAGATATGACTGAAACAGTCATGAAAGGGTATCTACATAAGACATACGCTTATTTAGTCATGTATTTAATAAATATTGTCCGACCTCAATAAAAGATGCACATTTAGTTAATATACATTTTTGCAATTGAAGAACATGCAATATTAAATGCATTGTGTAGGAAAATACAGAAATATTTAACAAACATTCAATTAAGTTACATCAGCCAGCTAAATGGTCGCAGTAGTCTTGTTTGTAAGAAAACATGCTTGGCTCACTGAGTCACTTGATGCCCTCCATGTCCCCATCTAGGATGAAATGCTTTTTTTTTTTGTTCCATGCCAGCAGATATCTACTGTGTAGAGTAAGAGCTGCCGTATCTGATGGTACCTCTCCCCATCTCTTGGAGCTGCAGCTATCCTGGATAAAAGCTATAATCACTTTAAACAGGACAGGAAGAAGCTCTTAGGCCTGGAATTTAGTTTGTAGGAATAAAAGTAGCTTTCCAGATAGAGACTTGAAAGCACAACCATCATTATTAATATAAATGACCATTATAAACTTACCTTGCTGATGAAATGCTAAGATTCTAGAGCTTTGCATTATATATATGGAAGGAAAGACATACAGTATTAATAAAATACAGGTCATACCTGTGTTTTTTTGTGTATAATAATGAAACACTCAGTCAAGCCTTGTAGAAGAATATTTTACAAACACTACAAGCAAACATGCATTTCCATTACTTGTAATAATCATTATGAATGTTTAAGATAATGCTAAGCCCCAGTGTTTGAGTAAAATATGGAAGACAGACACAGAATATACTTTTTATGTCATTAAATTATAAGTAATTAATATGAATGAGAGTCCACACAAGGAAGATAAATTTATGTTTTAATCCATAGAGTATTGTTTTCCTTATAATTAGGTCGTACAGTATAGAAGAGTTATCATAAGGAATTTTACACAAAGGACATTTTGATCAACTGAATATTAGCAAAAAAAAAAAAAAAATAATATAGTCAGCTATAGGATTTTTGAGTACTACTGTAGTTGGCAGGCTTTATATAAATTAATTATGTATCCCTAGTAGGCTACTTTATTATTTTGTCTTTTCTCATGCTTCAGTTTTTAACAATATCTTAATGATGTTGTTTCATAGTGACTTGAAATTTATATAATTTTTGCTCATAATACGAAATTACATGGGCATGCTAAATTAAAATTATGCGCATGCACACACAAGCATGCACACACAGGTAGACAGAGACAGGTTACTCCAGAGAGGGGACACAGAAACAAGGGGTCACAATTGGAAGCTGAAGACTCAGACGAGTCATAGGGATGTTAGGAAGTATTTCTTCATTCATAGAGTCGTCAGGAAGTGGAATAGCCTAAAAAGTGATGTAGTGGAGGCAGGAACCATACATAGCTTTAAGACGAGGTATGGCAAAGCCCTGGAAGCAGAGAGAGAGAGGACCTACTAGTGACCAGTGAAGAGGCGGGGCCAGGAGCTGTGTCTCGACCCCTGCAACCACAATTAGGTGAGTACACTTATATGCACACTCACTCTCACATACACATGTACACTTACATAAATGTGCACACTCTAGCAACTGGCTCCTGGAGTTCAACCCTACCAAATGCAAAGTCATGAAGATCAGGGAAGGGCAAAGAAGACCACAGACAGAATACAGTCTAGGGGGGCCAAAGAATACAAACCTCTTTCAAGGAAAAGGATCTTGGGGTGAGTATAATACCAAACATATCTCCTGAGGTGCACATCAACCAAATAATTGATGTAGCATATGGGCGACTAGCAAACCTAAGAACAGGAGTAAGGAGTCATTCAGGACTCTCTACACTGTGTATGTCAGGCCTATATTGGAGTATGCAACACCAGTTTGGAACAACATCTGGTCAAGCACATCAAGAAATTAGAGAAAATACAAAGGTTTGCAATGAGACTTGGCCCAGAGCTAAGGGAAATGTCCTGTTAAGAAAGACTGAAGGAAATTGGCCTGATGACACTGGAGACATGATAACATATAAAATACTGTGAGAAATTGACAAGGCGGACAGAGACAGGATGTTAAAGATGGGACACAGAAACAAGGGGTCACATTTGGAATTTGAAGACTCACATGAGTCAGAGGGATGTTAGGAAGTATTTCTTCAATCCTAGAGGTGTCAGGAAGTGGAACAGCCTGGAAAGTGATGTAGTGGAGGCAGGAACCATACATAGTTTTAAGATGAGGTTTGATAAAGCTCATGGAGCAAGGAGAGAGAGGACCTAGTAGTGACCAGTGAAGAGGCAGGGCAAGGAGCTATGACTCGACCCCTGCAACCACAAATAAGTGAGCACACACACACACACAGGACCTAGTAGTGATCAGTGAAGAGGCAGGGCCAAGAGCTGAGTCTCAACCCCTGCAACCACAATTAGGTGAGTACAAACACACACACACACACACACACATGATGGAAGGGATAGACTCAGAGGTGTCCCTGTTTGCAGATATGAAGATAATGAGGAGAATTAAATCAGATGAGGATCAGGCAGGACTACAAAGAGACCTGGACAGGCTGAACACATGGTCCAGCAACTGGCTTCTCTAATTCAACCCTGCTAAATGCAGTCATGAAGATTGGGGAAGGGCAAAGAAGACCGCAGACAGAGTATAGGCTAGGTGGCCAAAGACTGCAAACCTCACTCAAGGAGAAAGATCTCGGGGTGAACATAACACCGAGCACATCTCCTGAAGCGCATATCAACCAGATAACTGCTGCAGCATATGGGTGCCTGGCAAACCTGAGAATAGCATTCCGACACCTTAGTAAGGAATCATTCAAGACACTATACACTGTGTACATCAGGCCCATACTGGAGTATGCAGCACCAGTTTAGAACCCACACCTGGTCAAGCACGTCAAGAAATTAAAGTGCAAAGGTTTGCAGCGAGGTTAGTTCCAGAGCTCAATGGAATGTTCTACGAAGAAAGGTTGAGGGAAATTGGCCTGACGACACTGGAGGACAGAAGGGTTAGAGGAGACATGATAACGACATACAAAATACTGTGTGGAATAGATAAGGTGGAAAGACACAGGATGTTCCAGAGAGGGGACACAAAAACAAGGGGTCACAATTGGAAGCTGAACAACCAGATGAGTCAAAGGGATGTTAGGAAGTATTTCTTCAGTCATAGAGCTGTCAGGAAGTGGAATAGTCTAGCAAGTAAGGTAGTGGAGGCAGGAACCTTACATAGTTTGAAGATGATGTATGATAAAGCTCATGGAGCAGGGAGAGAGAGGACCTAGCAGCAATCAGTGAAGAGGTGGGGCCAGGAGCTGAGTCTCAACCCCTGCAACCACAATTAGGTGAATACAGCCCTGCAACCACAACTAGGTGAGTACAACCACACACACACACACACACACACACACACACATCCACATCACACACACATCACTCACACACACGTGTATATGTGCAATTGTTGATGCAGCAATATTAAACAATATTTCAAGGAGTTATGTATGCAGACAATGACAGTAAAGTACAGTGGAACCTCAAATTTCGAACGTATCACTTACCAAACGTTTCAAAAATAGAACCCTTTTTTCGAACCAACTTTGTCCCTATTATCGAACGCACCCCTATTTTCAGACCACCGAGTACCAGACCTGTCCACCAGCCCACTCTGTCTGCGTCCCCGCGCAGGCGCCGTGAACCAGTCTGGCTTTGTTGATGCTTGAGTGAACACTAACCTGTGCTTTCATTCAAACATTTTATGATTATTTCATTGTGTTTAGTGCTTGTGGGATTGTGAAATAAGCTACCATGGGCCCAAAGAAACTTGCTAGTGGTACCCCTGTGGTGAAGAAAGTGAGAAACACCATAGGTGTGAAGAAGGAAATAATACAGAAGTATGAGAGTGGTGAGATTTGCTGAGCTTGCCAGGATGTATGGGGAAAGCAAGTCGACCATCGGTTCGATCCTGGCAAAGACAGAACAAATCAAAGAAGCTGATGTTGAGACAGGTGTTAATATGCTAACCAAAAAAAGGCCACAAATAGTTGAAGAGGTTGAGAAGTTGTTGCTGGTGTGGATCAAGGATAAAGAGATGGCAGGTGATAGTGTTTCAGAGACGATTATTTGCGAAAAGGCAAGGAAGTTGCATGCCGTTCTGGTATAGAAAACTCCTGGAACCAGTTCAGTGACAGAACCATGTCCCATTTTAGGGAAATGTTAAAGAGGCGCCAGAAACAGAGGACTGTGGACAGTTATTTTGTGAGATGGGTCCAGTGACTCTCAAGCTGGTCCTAAGTGGCATTAAAAGACAGAGAAGGGAAGTAACCCCAGAGAGGACTTTGATACCTGAAGTCCTCATGGAGGGTGATTCTCCTTCCAAACACTAACCCCAACTTCCTCTCTCCTCCTCCTCCATATCTTCCAGATGTCATCACCAATCTTCAATAAAGATAAGTAAAAATGCTATTTTATGTTTATATACATAACTGAACACTATAGTATTTGTTGTATGTATTTAAAACTGCAATTAATCTCTATAAAATGTATTTTTTGTGAATATTTTTGGGTTTCTGGACCGGATTAATTGTATTTCCATTATTTCTTATGGGAAATATTGCTTCGATTTTCAGACTCTTCGAATTTAGAACTAACTCCTGGAACGGATTAAGTTCGATTTTTGAGGTTCCACTGTATAATGGAAATAAATAAAATATAAATTATAACAGAAGCTGGAAGTAGTACTCAGAGGTCAGAGAGTGACAGCTGTCAGGAAATAAAGCAAAGTATTATTGTGCCTAATAAAGCCTATGTAATAGTGCCAAAAATATAAGTTATTTTTAGATATGAAACTAATAGGTTTGCATTACTAGACATTTCAAACAATAGTTTGAACTCTTCAGAGAAGAAAAAAAAGATATATACTGCTGCCTAAAAACTATATTTTAATGTCTGATGTAATTGGTTACAGCTTACTAGAACGATTATAAATGGCAATGTGAAAAAAAAAAAAAACAGCAGTGTAGTGAAGAAAACTTTACAGGTCTAACAAACCATAAGAAACTAGAATTAAAAATGGGGAAGATAGTTAAATTAGGAAAAACCAGAAAAGAAAATTGATGTGGCAACAAAAAACTAGAGTGCAGTACCTGCACTCTGAAGGAGTGACGATGTTGAGTCGTAGGATAATCTGATTGTGATGTCAGCACGTCTGGAAAGATGGTAAATCAGTGAATGTTGGTGAATGTGTTTTCTTCTTTGGGTCGCCCTGTCATGGTGGGAGACAGCTGCTGAGTTAAAAAAAAATTAATATAATTCATACAATAGAAATTCAGAGAAGGCAGTTACTGGTAGATGTATGAAAAACATAAATGAATAATATTTATGTGAATGAAGCATGCAATGTTCAGAATGAAAAAAATAAGGTAAAAGGAAAGACTACAGTGAAGAAACATAAAACAAAATGATAACTGCAGATAATTAACCATTGAAGGAGAGTATCAGCAAAGACAAGACAGTTACTGCTCTGAGTTTTGCTGAGCAAGAAATATAAAAAAAAAAATGAATGAGATAGAAGACACATCAGTATGATCACAAAATGCATAAAAGATTTCAACAGCAAACAACATGAAGCAGAATATAGAAGAATAGGTACAATACATAAAAACGGTATGACAAAACTTGCTATTTGGCATTTGTTCCAGGTGACTAATTCATTGGGTAGTAACTCATGCTGGGTGAATATACTGTCAATATGATGGTACATATCAGCTCAAATAGTTCACATGTTATTGGTGATATGCACTTTAGCCTTGGCTATTTTAATATCCAGATATTAGAGGAAGGTGAATGATGTGCTTGGACGAGAAAATCCTATCGTCAAGAGAGACTATCAGATCTGCTAAGCTGCAGTAGTTGCTGAAATTTAAGAAACTGATTTGTATACTATTACATTTACTTACATTTAAAGAAGCTATGCTGAAATTATTTCAGAGACTGATTTGCAGCCTATTACATTTATTTATATTTAAATAAGCTGTGCAAGTTGTCCTGAAAGATAAGAAGGATATATTAAAACAGGAAGAATAAAATGTAAACTACAGAAAAACAGTGGATGAGTTTGAGAGATTTTCTGTTTGAGAGCAAAATACACACAATGATGAGAGTGAAGATGTCACTTTGAAGTCCCATAATGATCAGTACTTGTCTCTAATGTTAATAATGTGATAAATACTTGCCACCTGTTTGTAGATGCAAAAGTCCTGATATAAACCAAGTAAAAATGACTAAAACCCTATAGGAAGGTTAGGCTGACTAAGTGCAGTAACAGATGGATAACTGACTTTAACATAGATAAGCGGAGGGTTGAGGCATTTATAAAAACACAGAAGTTTCTCCATTAAAACAAAAATGGTAATGTACCAAGGGTTTAGTGGTATGGGCTTTAAATGTTGCAGCAAGGAGGCAGCCCGAGGTAGTGATGTCATGTTTGAGAGCAGTGTGTATGGTGTGAATATTATGCAGATAATTTGGAGCATAGATATTAGAAGACTGTGGGGTTACCAAAGGACATTTAAAGAAGATGAAGCAGCATAAGATAACAAGTCATTTGGAAGGTAAGAGGTGGTACCAAGAACTCAAATAGGTAATTACAGTTTAATGGTTGTTTTCAATACAAAATTAATAGCCTCCCTTGATTACCTGTGAGTGATTTAAGGGGCCTGGTCCCAATGACCAGGTTTCTTGGGTGTTGTTTTAATCAACCAGGCTGCTGATGCTAACTATATGCACTCTGATAAATTAGACACACATGCAACACTTGGGTATCTTTAAGGAAACATTTTGCCACACAGTGGCTTCATCAGTCCATACAAAGAAGAATGGTGAAAAACAGGAGGAGTTTGAGGTAATCAGACCCTCAGCCTTGAGTCGATGTGGTCACTCCATCAATCTTGAAAGAATACAGCATATCTGTGGAGAAGTAGCTTATATACCGTAGGTAGGAGAGGTGCAGCAGTTGTAAATGGTATCACATTTGTCCAATGTGGAAGTAGGTCATGCCCAAGGGTTAGGCGAGTGAAGAATTCCCTGTATTAAGATCATCACTGTGTGGCGAAATGTTTCCTCATTAAAGATACCCAAGTGTTGCATATGTGTCTAATTTATCAACTTGTCGGTTCTCTGAACCATTCATCTACATTCCTGTCTGACACAGCAACATCTTGGGATCTTAATATAGGGAATTCTTCACTCGCCTAACCCTTGGGCATGACCTACTTCCACATTGGACAACTGTGATACCACCTACGACTGCTGGACCTCTCCTGCCTACGGTATATAAGCTACTTCTCCGCAGATATGCTGTATTCTTTTCAAGATTGATGGACTGACCACATCGACTCAAGGCTGAGGGACTGATTACCTCAAACTCCTCCTGTTCTTCACCATTCTTCTTTGTATGGACTGATGAAGCCACTGTGTGGCGAAACGTTTCCTCATTAAAGATACCCCAAGTGTTGCGTATGTGTCTAATTTATCAACATGTCGGTTCTCTGAACCATTCATCTACATAAATGCACTCTGACATGTACACCACAGCCTCACTGAGAAGGAGCATTATTACAAAAAAAGTATTTTTTAAGATGGTAGTTTTACTCCTTTTGTAATAAAGAGTTCGGGATACATATATACACACATTAAAATAAATTAATCTTTAATATTATATAAAAATAATCTTTGGTCTAGGAGGTATTTAAAATATATCTACATGTTAAATAATAAATTATTAGCATCTTAAAATAATAATATATATATCTATGCTAAAATAATAAATTAAGTAACATTTAAAATAATAAATTACAATCAACTGCGTTTCTCATGACACTTATCCGAGTTGTGACGCTCTTTCTCCACCGTGTCACTTGACACCCTTTTCTCCGTGTAATACACACTTTCGCAACCGTGTCACACTTGACACCCTTGTCTCTGCGTCACACTACCCGCATAGCGTCTTTGTCGAGGCCAGTCACATGACACTATTCAATGTACACTACAACCAGGCCATCTTCAGTGTCACACGACACCCTTTTCTTCTCAGTGTTCCACTACAGTCCTGTAGCATATCTCAGTGTTCCACTCCATCATACTTCCCTAAGTGTCACACTACGGTCCTGGCCCAGTTCAGTGTAACACTCCAACCTTTTCTTCATGTAATGTCCCACTAAACAGCATCAGATGACTCCGGCCCACAGTTGACAAGCGTAGGCGGTGAGTCCGCAGACATCACCGGCAGTCCTGTAAATACTCTCCAAAGCCGGTTGACACACCGCAAGGTGGTCCAGTGCAGCGCACACTATGTTGCAAGCTCACTGAATGCGGCCGTCAGATAACTGAGGCCAACAGACTCAGTGAGCTGCGGTGAGCGCTTCTTCTAAAATCAGTAGAAGCCAGTAGAATACTCTACTGCCAGTAGATGTACGATTAGGTGTTCTGGTAACTACTGCGTAGATGCGTACCGTGAGTTGTTCAGGTACATACTGCTTCTAAGGCCAGTAGATGTGTACCATTAGGTGTTCAGGTACCTACTGCTTAGCTGCGTACCGTGAGGCGTTCAGGTGCATAATGCTTACAAGCGTACTGTGAGGTGCTCAGGTACATAATGCTGCAGTGCGTACCGTGAGGTGCTCAGGTACATAATGCTCTAAGGCCGGCTCAGCAGTCCCCACAATGGGTTTGATGACGTACCCAGTGGTACTGCCGGCCGGCAGGTTAACTATTTAACCGCTAGTTTGGCAGGGGGCCGTAACACCCCCACCACAAAAGGACCGACACACAAAGATCAATGTAATATGCATCCCGAACCGTCATCCTGGATATGATCATCCCAGAAATCATTCTTGATAATCATTATCCTCCCGGACAGGCCACTCATATATTACAAAAAAAGTTATTTTTGAATGGTAGGTTTTACTCATTTTGTAATAAAGAGTTCAGGATACATATATACACATTAAAATCAATTAATCTTTAATATTATATAAAAACAATCTTTGGTCTAGGAGGTATTTAAAATATATCTACATGTTACAATAATAAATTATTAGCATCTTAAAATAATAATATATATATCTATGCTAAAATAATAAATTAAGTAACATTTAAAATAATAAATTACAATCAACTGCGTTTCTCACGACACTTATCCGAGTTGTGACGCTCTTTCTCCACCGTGTCACTTGACACCCTTTTCTCCGTGTAATACACACTTTCGCAATCGTGTCACACTTGACACCCTTGTCTCTGCGTCACACTACCCGCATAGCGTCTTTGTCGAGGCCAGTCACATGACACTATTCAATGTACACTACAACCAGGCCATCTTCAGTGTCACACGACACCCTTTTCTTCTCAGTGTTCCACTAGGGTCCTGTAGCATATCTCAGTGTTCCACTCCATCATACTTCCCTAAGTGTCACACTACGGTCCTGGCCCAGTTCAGTGTAACACTCCAACCTTTTCTTCATGTAATGTCCCACTAAACAGCATCAGATGACTCCGGCCCACAGTTGACAAGCGTAGGCGGTGAGTCCGCAGACATCACCGGCAGTCCTGTAAATACTCTCCAAAGCCGGTTGACACACCGCAAGGTGGTCCGGTGCAGCGCACACTATGTTGCAAGCTCACTGAATGCGGCCGTCAGATAACTGAGGCCAACAGACTCAGTGAGCTGCGGTGAGCGCTTCTAAAATCAGTAGAAGCCAGTAGAATACTCTACTGCCAGTAGATGTACGATTAGGTTAGGTAAGGTTCGTCAGGAAACAGGACAAATGTTTCCTGACACGGGTCTTAGTCAGATGATGACCCGCCTTTGGAGCTTTTGGTCATCTGACCGAGGCCTTCCGCTGGCTTACCGGTCCACCCCTTTAAAAATTATGGTCATTTATAACCTTCTAAAAATAAAAAGGAAGAAAAAAGTGATATACGATTAGGTGTTCTGGTAACTACTGCGTAGATGCGTACTGTGAGTTGTTCAGGTACATACTGCTTCTAAGGCCAGTAGATGTGTACCATTAGGTGTTCAGGTACCTACTGCTTAGCTGCGTACCTGAGGTGTTCAGGTACATAATGCTTACAAGCGTACCGTGAGGTGCTCAGGTACATAATGCTGTGGTGCGTACCGTGAGGTGCTCAGGTACATAATGCTCTAAGGCCGGCTCAGCAGTCCCCACAATGGGTTTGATGACGTACCCAGCGGTACTGCCGGCCGGCAGGTTAACTATTTAACCGCTAGTTTGGCAGGGGGCCGTAACAAGCATAATAACAGTTTTAATAATTGCAACGTACGATTTTATTTTTCATTTTTCCTTGGTATGACTAGTGTTCAGCTTTGTGGCCTGCTAATATCAGTTTTCCTAATTTCTGGAATTTCTGCATTACACTTATTTCTTAAAATCTTTTTCTGTCTTAACTTGAAACTTATGAGTATTATAGTCATGGGTGTTTGTAGCCCTCTGCTGGCCATTTTTAGGTGCAATTTTTTGCCCTGGAGAGAGGAGGGTCTTTTATTCTATGCAGTGTAACAGTGAATAAGTGTGCTTGGACAATACTTACTCCAGTACATATTCTCTAATGCCAGATGTGCTGAATAGTTTTAGTTGGAAATGCATTCCATGAAAGTTGCTTTCCTTGAGCTAATTATCATTATGTAAGCTCTTATTAAGAGTCATAGATGTTTTCCACCTAAAATCTGTTGTACTTCATAGTAAACTGTATAAGTAATCACATTTTTTTCTGTAGATTGAATTTTTTCACTTCTAAATTTATAAAAATTAAATGTGGAAGTACTGCATATGCAGAAATGGCATATACAATACAAAAAATGAATATAAAATATTTGGTTAAACACCATAACACAAAATAAAAAATTTGTATGCAACACCCCAGTGATTGACATATATATGGCTTAGGGCAAATTATGTTCACTGAAGAGTTCGTGATCCAAAGGATTGGAATTGCCCTTCCTTTCCTTGTACTGAATCTGATTAACACCCATTACCTTGGTGCTGTTTTTTTCCTATGGATTTAGTGCTCTTTCCCATGAATATAATAATAGCGAGATGATCATTAAGTGTTACTAGGAACATGAATGTCTGATGCCTCATCTGAGCAATCAATTTTAGGAGGAGGACGGGTGCTCAGGTTACATTACTTGCAAAGGGCTTTATTGTAACTACAAGTGGTCACTTTGGTTACTTAAAATAAAAACAAAATAA